GGGATCTGGTTGGCTTATAAGTAGGCAACCTGCGGCTTCTTTTGCTGTCCCTTTTAAGCTTCGGCGTATTCTCGCTATGTTTTCGTTCATCGTGAAGTACTTTGAAGATTCTTCGTACGTTGTTTTGAAGCTGAGCCATTCTTTGCTGCTACCATTGAATGTAGGTAGCTCTTGCACATATTTCGGCGGTTCCCTTGTGCTTCGTACTGCTTGTGATAGAGCAGCGGCTAAGGTAGCGACGTCGATTTGTTGCTGCGCCTGTCCATAGTCTTCTTTCTGCGGCGCGGGTTGTGATGCAAACTGCGGAGCGGGTTGCGATGCGAAGTGCGGCGTGGGTTGCGATGCGAAGTGCGGCGTGGGTTGCGACGCGGGCTGCGGCGCGGGTTGCGATGTAAGTTTTTCTTGCAACCATGTACTAATGCGTACTGATGCTAAATCGTCTTCTATTTCTTCATCTTCGTCATCGGTTGATCCGACCTCTGCTTGTAATCGCTGCACGTGTATTTCTTGCAATTCCGTTCTTGCTTGCAACTGAGCCTGCTCGAGCTTGAGTTCGGCTAACCGCTCTTTCGCCTCTAACTCCTCAAGGAGTCTCTTGCGTGAGGCTACGGAGCGGCGCGACCTAGCTTCGTCGGGCTTTAATGTGCGCTGCGATCTTCGATCCTTTTCTTGCTGGGTTTCTTCCGTTGCGGCCGTGTTATCGGTCGCAGAGGTAACGGTTGTATCGCTGACCGTTGTGGTTTCGCTCGTGGTGTTGGATGTACCAGTAGCGGTTGAATCGCTCCCAGAGGCCTCTTCTGTGGCCCCCTGGGTTATTTGTTCATCCTTGCGACGCTTCGATGATTCTCCGTTGTTACTACGTGTAATCACCATTTTTCTTCACAATAATATTTTTTCGTTCTTGCGGTTTGCTTCTTTCTTCCGGCAATACCAAGACGGATATTGTCTTTTTCTTCTAGTAATCCGGCTTCTCGAAGGACCACTAATGTTACGGATCGCCGTAACGCCGTTCGAAAAATGAATGAAACGCGTTGGTCTTGCTTAAACTGGAGGCAAAGCGGCGGTGAGGAGGAACTTTTTCTTTTCTTGCTGCTGTTTTCTTTTCTGTGGCTGGAGAGCGACTGCCGACCGTTCCGGCCGGCCCGTCTTATATATGATTTGGCCGTTGCTGGCCAGCGGACCCTTGCCTCACCCCCGCGCCTTTCTTTATTAGTTAAATTTCTTACAAACTAACGAACAGACTTAAATATATAACATTCTTACAACTACTTATTAAACTAATATTTACATAACAATTTTCCTATATACTAATGGTTAAAAGGTTGTTTTTCCAGCAATTTTGAGCTGAGGACCCTGCCCCCCGCCTCAGTACTATAAATATAAAACGTCGTGGCGCGGCGCCCGTAGCCTCATTCGCTCCGCGGCCGCGTCATGGTAACATGCCCTGTTTCATGCCTAAAGGCTTAATATATAAGAAACTAAATTGCACTATATAAAAGAAAACACATTACATATAACACTTACTCTATAATTTGGCATTAATTAATTTCTATATTCTAAATCTATGTTAACTCTCGCCAGTTGTTCGGTGCCTTTATTGCGAGAGTTATTACATAGTTACAATACTATTTATTAAAAATTAAAAGCTATATTTCTCAATATTATTGCTACGGCTTTTCCCGCGTTGCTGTGGGCAACCACCGCTAGTTGTGGAACCGTGAGCGGGGCCCGACGATCGTAACATCCTCATGGCTCCGCCCACCGCCCCTAGGTTGTTCAACTAGCGATGGTTACGACAAGCAATCCGTAAGTCATTTCGTTCGACGTATTACTATGTTTGCGTCGTGCACAATAATAGTTGTTAGTTTAGAGCTTAAAATGTAACTTATTTTACATGTACTTACCGAAAGTAAGACACTCCGGCTGTTAAATTGCTTTTTCGAGCATTATTCTTGCAACTTTTAAATATACATTGCGGCATTATGAAACGTGCTTACATTGGCTGTGTTTCAAGTCATCCAAACGAAATAAGACGGACGAGTTCGGCTCGCCGGTTTCGATACCAAGAACTTTTGTTTCGATACCGAGTAAGTATCGCAAGATTGATTCGAAGCTATTAGTATTTGGTATCGAATCAAAAGTATCGAGTACCTACTCGTATAACTCATATTTACTAGTATCTAGTGTTTCTATATAGTTTGTGCTAATACCTAGGGATGATCCGATACCATAAAAGTATCGATACCTACTCATATCAGCAGTACTCAAATCATTTTCGATATTAGGCTCGCCACATACATACGGAATTCCGTTTCGAGATTCCGTTTCGGAATTCCGAACGGTCGGCCACACACAAACGGAATCCTGTTTTGCCCGGAAAATATCGAACGGAAAACTACCGTACGTGTGTGGCGGGTCATAGATTTTATATGGACTTGCTGCGTTCGGGATTCCGAATCGGAATATCGAAACGGAATTCCGTATGTATGTGGCCGGCCTTACTCATACAAATACCGCTAATGTATAGATACTTACTGATATCGATACTTTTAGATTTTTTTAAATGAAATTAACGTAGCAAATGTTTCAAGCCCCACAACGATCTATTCTGCCCTGCCACTTTAGATAACATCTATAAGACAACAACATACTACAGAACTAACGAACTATTATGAACCTAACCTAAGTATATTATTATTAACAGTGGTAGAGCCACGCGGCAGCTTTTGCTGTCGCACGGATGGGCCGGCTCGAACCGGGGTGGTACCACGACCTCACAGAAAACCAGCGTGAAGTAGAGGTTTATCTCTGCGTTTCGCTTGGTGAGTGCAGGTGGCCGGAGGCCATTTTTACTGGAAATGAGACATTCCATCTTAGTCCTCACGGGTGACAACGCATCTATATTTTGATTTGTAATAGAGGATAAATGTAGATGTCTATGGGACGCAGCAACCACTTACCTTCAGGTGGACTGTGTGCTCGTTTGTCACCCTTATCCTATAGAAAAAAAAAAGTAGCTAACCTAACAAAATTAATTAGTGAAAAGTTGAAGATTCTATCTTTCGTTTGTCCCTTTATCTACTTTTTTCTGTGATTTGCCTTTATCCACAGTAATTCCATGAGTTTTGGAATGCTTGAATAAATTAGACGTATTGCTACAATATTTCACCAACTTAAAACATTGTTTACATTTTGCAGTTGTTTCGTTTATTTTGGTGAAATATGTCCATATTAATGATTTTGGTGGTGCCATGATAACATTGGAATAATAAACCGATGACTACAATTATTTAGATTACGTAAACAATCTGTTCGCGCCAAGCGCTAATGTCAAGAATCGACGCCAGACGGCACTCGGCTCGGCGCGATACCGGTTTGAAGTTCGGCCAAGTGTGGCAAGAGCGCGCGGGTCGCGAGCGAAAAAGCAGTCGTCTGCCAGCTGTGCTAACGTCCGCACGCTGTCAATTTTTGTTCGGGAACACGGAATAATTAGGCGCGGTTAGTAAATATACTGTCTAGGATTTGTGACGCGCATTCCTTGCTGGAGAGCTTCCCAGGGACTCATTGTGTCTCAGAATCTGTATAAGTGCATTCGACAATATAGCTAAAGCGGCCTTTGATATTCTAGAAATAACTGTTGCTACGCGAAGCGGTAGTGACCTTTGATCCGGACACTCCCTGTTCGTTTTTGTGTGTCAAGCTTTATAACAACCGAGAATTAGTGGCTTCTGTGAGTTAGTTAATAGTACGATAGAGTTAATGGACTGTCATCGTGACGAACGAAGAAAGTGACTGTGGACGGCACCGCGGTAGATTACCTCAATTTGGAGCGGTGGTGACGCCCGGGCTGCTGCCGACGGCCAAGGTCTACTAAGGTCAATCACCATCAGTCACACCCAGATACACATCACAGCACCTTATTTCCATTGCACTACACAACCACATGCGACCTGACTGACTCCGGAGGGACCAGTTGCCTTGGATATAGGTAAGTAAGCTCCGTCTAATATTCTCCCTGTTGAATGGCCGTACCACAGAACGCTCCCCCTTATTGTTTAGTGTAACTAGAGATATTCCACTTTGGGCTTAGGAGGCCCGACCTACGTCTGCTCGTCGAAACTCAGCTGAATGGGCCCTTCAGGATTTGACCTTTATGGGAGCAGCCGTAGGCCGTAACACAATCACTTGTGGAATGCTGAACACTGCTAGTGTCGACTGGACCAGTGTCAATTTTAGTGTAATGGCAGCTCTCTGTCTCGGCTTGGGTGAAGTCGGTTCGGCTCGCCGAATTCAATAGCAAGTACTTTTGTTTCGATACCGAGTAAGTATCGCAAGATTGATTCGATGCTATTGGTACTTGGTATCGAATCAAAAGTATCGAGTACCTACTCGTATTTACTAGTATGGGAATGTCCCTACCCAAGCCTATATTGGATTGATTTGTACTCTGTGATTGATTTCGCTCCGTTGCTATAGTGTCTCTGACTAGTATACAGTTATCTGTGCTATAGTGCATAGATAAGAGTTGTCTATAGTGTTACTATCACAGACTAATATGATACTAACGTATGAAAACTGACGTCCTTTCGTCTACTAGTACACGTTGGAACACAACACTTGTTATACATGTTGCAAGACAAGGTAGTATTACAGCTTCAGGAATTGAGAGGATTAGTTACGGAAATAAATCAACGCAAAACTACACTCGATCAACTTTGAAACTGTAATAAAAATAACGACACTGTGACAGTGACAGAAATTCATAAGAGGTGTGAAGGAGGGGAAGGGAGGTGAAAGAAGCTGTCACATACGATATGTGAACCATAGACTAGAGTTTCTAATAACTTGTATGAAGATTACCTGCCGTGGTTACTATATAGTTTGTGGTTGCTAAATATAATTTGTTTTATTTTGTGTACATATTTGCTTTCATATTTTCATACACAGTGATTATAAAAATAATGTTTTCTTTAAAAATATATGCGATTAAAGTATGAGACATGCATGCTTATGTTAATATTGACGAAGCTGTGAAACACGTAAAAAGTATTGCAGACAACAATCGATGTGTCACTTGGTAAGTATAAACAATACAGGCAGCAGGCACTGAAAAACATATAATCTTCTATTGTTGTTACCATTATTGATATAAATTTTTATTTCTAGTGATCAATTAACAAGTGTTCGCATAAGATATGATTGCGGACACTCAGTTTGTGGAGAATGCGTAGAGGACGCTGATGAATGTTTGACCTGCATTGATTCTAAAACTTCGAAACTAGTTACGGATGTGCCTCAAGCACAGCGTGTAAAAAATGCATCTAATCTTCTAACCACGTTTCAGGAAGCGTTTAATGTAGATGGTAAACTATTTTATAATTGCCTTTTCTAATCCATCATATAATTCTCACAAACTGCCTGCTAATTTGAATATTCTGGAAAAGAAAAGACTTCCTATAATACTACTTCACTTTATTCAAATAATATTTTCTTGCATTGTTTATATGCTTACACTTAGCAATGCACCTTTGATTTATTAACATTTGGCAGTGGGGGTTAGCCACTTGGTATGTATATTCAATCTTTTTAACCTTAGGTCACTGGTAATAAAGGTAAAGATTTTTTATCCTACAAAAATGTCATCAACTGGATATGAAATGTTAACCTCATTTGCATGCAGTGCCCTCTTTTATTGAATGAGGCTCTTGCGGTTGATAAATAGCAGTATATGCAGTTGACTCAGATTGGTGAAAAGCAGCAGTTTTCCCTATAGAGTGAGATCAGTACTGTGGAAACTAACCTGCCTACCTAGCTTTAGAGACAAATGTAGATTTCTTTGGGCCACAGCATCCACCTACCATCAGGTAGACTGTGTGGAACCCTATTCCATAAAAAAATGTCTAACTACTTGAGAATAGATTAGATATAGTAAACCCAGCTCCCATCTTTTAAAAGGTCATTTATTGCTTTTCTTTTATGTCATATGATTCTCCTTGCTTGTCATCACAATCTAATATGATCACAAGTTAATTGCGAAATAAATTTGTTTCCTTGATATAATATCATAATTTAATATATTAAAATTAATGTTTGTTTCTTTGTATTCTATTAGCTGCCATACCATTCATCAGATTTCGGCAAAACATTTGTGTGAAGGTTGCAAGGTGGTGTGCATATCGTACTGACAAATTAATTTGAAAATCATATATCATTCAATTTCATTGAATACATTATCATTGCTAATTAAACAACATAAACCTTCCAAATTTAAAACAATATCTTCACAATTATTTCTTCTGTGGCAGTAACAAGCTGGGTACCAATTAGTATAATATATTATTATGATATAATAGATTATTAAGATTATTATTGTAAAAATTGAAAATTAGTATTTAATTTAAATAAATACAAATGGCTGAATATTACAGGAGTGTGTTTTAAATAACCATATTTAATTATAATAAGAGTGGACTTTGATCTATTGTAGTTGCCAACCTGCCTACCAAGCATGGCAACTATAGTAAAACTAGAGATGTGCCAATTCAGAAGGAACTAGACTTTACTTGAAATTGACATAACTTAAAAAGAAATAGCAAATCAAATTGAGTTACACAATTAAAATTGGTAGGCATTGAGTCAATGATATTATGAATATTTGTTGTTCAATCCAACTCTGTGTTGGGCTCAGATATGTTGAGATTTGGGACAATTATTTTTACTGAATTTAGTAGGTAGGATTGAAATAAAAACCATTTTTATTATAGAATATGGGTAACAAACGAGCACACAATGCACCTGATAGTAAGTGGATGCTGTGACCCATAGAACTATTACTCCTTACTCCTCAATTAAGAATCAAAATGCAGATGCATTTTCACCCCTGAGGCCCGAGATGGAGTGCCTCGTTTCCAGTAAAAAGGGTCTCCAGTTCTATACTCTAACCATAAGAAACACAGGAGCATTAAGCTGCTATTTTGCACTGGTATTCTGTAAAAGCATGGTCATTCCCTGGTCAAGCCGATCCATTTGTGCTACAACCATAAAACAGCTGCAGTTTGGCTCTACCACATAAAAATCTTAATTTATAAATTAAGGTTTTTGCTGATACTGATAAATAATTTCAAAAGACATCTCAAAACTACATTGTAGTAATTTTGGATAACTAAGACAAACCAAGAGCTCATGATGCATTTTTCATGAAGTGTTTGATGCTTCATGAAACTTTGTTGAAAAGTATCAGTCCACTCAATAAGCAGGTACATGACTTTTTGCCTGGCCTACCTGGGTACACCTCGTACTGTGCATACAGATAAGTCGCAAAAAAATTCACCCAAATAAGTGTTTGATTCAAATAATAATAATGACTAAGTCAGTTAAGTTGATAAAGTATTAAGAAAAAAATGGCAGACACTTCTGAAGGGGTTGACATAGAGGCAATTTGATTTAATCTGCCATTTTTACAGCATGTATATATAATAAAAAAAATTCACAAAAGGGCAGACAGTTTCTCCGGGGGTTAATAATTTAAAATATTTAAATAAATCTTATATTGAATAAAACTATTTATACAGATTTTATCGCGTTTAATAAACTTATTTTTCTTATTTTTATTAATTCCTGATGTTTTGGGTGCTTTCCAGCACCAATGGTCACGGGGGACTTTTGTCCCCTGTTCACGCAAGATATATCATTATCATCATCATCATCATCATCATTACAGCCCTTTACAAGTCCACTGCTGAACATAGGCCACCCCCAAGGAATGCCACAAAGCACAGTCCTGAGCCACCTGCATCCATCGACTTCCTGCATGTCTTACCAGGTCATCACTCGATCTAGTGGGGGGACGCCCTACACTTCGTCCACCGGTACGAGGCTGCCATTCGATAACCTTCTTTCCTCATCGGTTGTCGGTTCTTCGAGCTATGTGGCCAGCCCATTGCCACTTCCGTTTACTAATGCTTTGGGCTATGTCGGTAACTCTGGTTCTACTGCGGATATCCTCATTTCTAAGTTTATCACGCAGAGAAACTCCGAGCATAGCTCTCTCCATAGCTCGCTGAGCGACCTTGAGCTTCCTCATATGGCAAGATATATACTATAACTTAATTATCATACAGTCCTACTCTCCTCTTATCACCAGCAGCAACGACCAGTCGCAGATAGAGTTTCTTTAGAAACTTCACCGCATGTGGACCCCACGGACCGTAAATATAGTCTCTACAGCAAATGCCACGAATTTGTAGATAGTCATCTTTCAGAGACTCATATTTGCATCAATTACTCAGTTCAGCTGCCTCTGATGCCACCCCAGGTCTAAACGAGGTAACCCTGGATGAGAGGCCGCCAAAGTGTCTACGCAAGTAGCATCCCACACTAGGGCTTTATCTCTCTCCCAAGGGACAAATGTCATACCGTTGGGTTTTCTGCCATCGTCTCTAAATATTCCACAAGGCCCTAAAACCGAGGGAACATTTATAGTTACAAGAGCTCTTCGGATAACATTGATCAAAGAACCGTGTCGTGAAAACCTACCAGCACTTTTGTTACATGAAAGTCTGAGCCCAAACTCGTCGACGCTACTACCACAGGGGCACTGTTGGGGTTGACAAATCGACGCTCCTAGTCGGATTCCTACGGCGATGCGCAAGCTTTCCCCATCAAGTAATGTTCCGAAATTACTTGGTGGTAAAGTGTGTAAGTGAGTAGATCAGATTTATTTAAATATTTTAAATTATTTACCCCTGGAGAAACTGTTTGCCCTTTTGTGAGAATTTTTTATTATATATATTAAACACGCTGGCACGCTGGCCAAAAATGGCAGATTAAATCAAAAACTTTTTTGGAATGTTTGAAAATACAACTATGGGGTAGTTCGCCCCTGTGTCAACCCCTTCAGAAGTGTCTGCCATTTGTTTTTCTTAATTCTTTATCAACTTATCTGATAGATAGTCATTATTACTATTGAATCAAACACTTGTGGACGATTTGTTTTGCAACTTACCTGTATGTGCAGTACCAGGTGTACTCAGGTAGGCCAGGCAAACTGTCAAATACCTGCTTATTGAGTGGATACTTTTCAAAAAAGTTTCATGATGCATCAAACACTTCATGAAAAATACGTCGCGAGCTCTCGGACCTCGGACCACAAGTATGGTGACCTTTTACTAAGTATGTTAATTATTCCCTTTTTTATTTACAGTTTATAAAAGGTACAGACTCTCAGAGAAATTAAAACTTGAGAAGGAAGTTTTTCCAGAACCTGTTCAAGCTTCTATTAAATATTTTAATAAAAGGAGAAGTTCACAACTATCAATTATAGAGGATAAAGAAAATCATATACCATTATTGCTTCCTGTTGAAGCCACTAATGATTCAATGACAATGAATACAAGAATTAATCTAGTGCAAAAATGGCTTGAAACAAATGAAAATGTTGAAAGCCCTGTAAGAAAACCATTTGCTGATATTAATGTAAACAGTCCATTTAATTCTGTCAGGAAAAGTAGTTCATCTATCAAAAATAAAAGTGTTTTATTAGAAAATAACAAAAATGATTTTAAGAAGAAGTTAAGAAAAAGGTCTGCTTCAAAAAGAAATAACTCTTTGAATGTAAAGCACAGAAATTCTACAAGGGAGTTGTTGAGTCCATCATTTGTAAAAGAACATTACAATGATAAAAAAATAAGTGATCAATACAGAACAGAAGAAAAACCCAAATCCATAGAAATATTACAAAATGTAAAAAATTATTATAACAGAGATGAAGACATTGTCATTGATGGCAATAAAAGTACAGTTGTTGATAAGGACAAAATTGCATGCTTAGCGGTTTTAGAAGCTGAGAAAAAACACCAAAGTCATGATTTGGATAATAAGTCAGATAACATGATACTCCAGTGTGATGCTAGCAAGACAATAAATGAAATAAGAATTAATGAACATGTTAAATCTAGAAAGAATGTGTGTTTTTACAAAAAAGGTTTTCTTTATAAGAGTTGTCTAATATGCTTACGAAATTTCCAAAAATTAAGTTTAGCTTATGAGAGGCTAGAGCCACATGATGTATCAATAACAATTAACACAAATAGTATGTCCACCTCAATTAAAGTCTCAAATAATGAACATATTAAAGAAAAGAAAGAAATGAGTATGAATGTGATAGGTAAATGTTCTGTTGCAACTCAGACAGATGAAAAACTTTATAATGTCAATAATAATATCAATATTACGAAGGTTTTACCTCATTCAAATATCCCCATAGAAAATAAAGATCTTGAAGTTTCAAGTGAAGACTTGTTTAAGGATGATGCAATTGTCACTGAAAATAATAATATGAGAGTTGATATCGAAAATGTTAGGAAACAAGTAAAAGAGTCAGACTTACACTGTATTGTTATAAATGATTCTGATAGTGATGTTGATTGCAGTGGTACCCTTGAAGTGACAGCTGATGTCCACAGGTCTAGTGACATGTAAGTTAAAAGTGAAAAAAATTCGAAATTTTAATTGAAATATTTTTTATTTGGCTTGTCAGATTCGTCTTAGTTTTTATAATTCCAACTGTTATTAATTCATCTCATTTAATTATTTTTAGAGATTATGGGGTTCTTTCGTCTGTAGAACAGAACAAATACTCACAAAGGTCAAGAGGAGCAGGACGACGCCGTACAATTGACAGTAATAATTCTTCCGAAAAAGAAAATATAGAACCAAACAAGCCTAAAAAGTCTAAGCTTGAGAAAAAGGAAATGAAAAAATATTAATTTATTTGGGTATTTCTCTTACTTTATTGAATTTAAAAAGTAGGCTTCAAATTGTAAAAACTGTCTTTAAAGTAAACGAAAAAATAATACTCATAGAACTCAGGAAAGTTTCATGTAAAGTGATACCGATTTATTGTCCAATTCACGGCTTTTTGGAAATCTAAAATTAGAAAAGTATTTTAAACGTATTATTTTAGCTTTATTATGTACCTATGAAAAAAAAAAGCTCTTCAAATGTTTTATTTTAGACGTTGATCCATATGGATCAAGAATACAAAGGATATTACCTTCTAATACTATAATTATATTATAATTATTACGAAAGAAATCATGTTATTAAAAAATATTCGAAAACAACGTGGCACAGCACGCTCCCGCTACACCCTTTGACACCCAAAGTAATTTTGTTAAAATCAATGTTTTCTTATCGAAATATTACATACCGATGAAAAGGAAATACCATTGTTCGTCTTAATTTGCTTCCGTGAATCGTTTTTACAGTTTGGCACTGCACATTTTACCATGATAACTTAAAATTCAAATAAATACCGTTGAGAGAAATAATTTATTTCATGACTAATAACGTCGGCCTTGTTACTACGAGCATCCTCGTGCTTACTGTTCGTACTCGTGCTTACTGTTCATACTTGCTAACGCGCGCTCTTTGGCTTGCTTATTTATGTCCCTAACCTTCTCAGAAATGGGATTAGGCCTATAATTTTATTTAATAATTTATTTTAATTTTATTTTAAATGTACATATAAATAACATTAAGAAATTAATAAATGAAATCAGGTTTATAACAGACCCATTAAAACAGGTACAGATAAAGTTTTACAAAAATGGTGCTGGCAAATACGCGAATACGTCAAAAAGATATTTGACTTCTTTTCAGTTCCTTTGGGTTGTTACTTCCTAACAGTAATGAAATGTTTATACAATATTGGACATACATCTTTATGGGATTAGTGAATACAGATTTCTTGAATACCAACTCAAGAAATCTGTATTTACACGCGACAGAGCAATAAGCTGTTCATGCGAAAAACAGCTGACACTGATATCTACAGTGATCACTCTCAGTGTCTGGCTCTGTACTTTGTAGATGGCCATACGTAACATAAGCTGCCTGGAAAATTTACTTTTTAAAAATTGCCGATCGGACACAATCATCACCAACCACTTGCTTAAGCACTTTAAAACTGTTATATTAACTTTTTTATTTGTCAATCGGTTTAAATGAAACAAACTTAAAGTAAACAAAAAGTTAGCCCAATCTTATTTCAAAATATGATTCAAATTAAAAGTTTTTAGTTTAATTTAGATTTATCTAAACTTTCAAGCTCCTATGAACGTATAATCTAGACCGGCAAGAAATTATGTATTTTAAATAACGTGAAAATTATTTAATTCCTTTAGTTTTTGGAGTTGGTTATATTAAAGTTCAAAGTAACAATAATTAGAATGGCGTCTAATTAGTTTCATTAAAATCTTCATGCTCTATTACTCCACCCAGAAAGATTTTTTTAAAATTAATATGAGACGATCTCTGAAGTATAACCTATTTAATAAAATCATTGACTAAAAGTACCTCCTTAACCTCTCAGATCCCGACAGTATTATCGGTCCAATTCCGTCAGACCTGTGGTCAGGCCAAGGTCAATAATATTTTTTTTTATTCTCAAAACTAGGCCTTGTCAACTCATGTATGGAACCTATGCGGCATTAATAACAGCGCCATTGAATAAACTACGGCTTCGCAGGTCAGGTCCATGTAATAATTAACAAACCGTGGTGTAGATGGCGCTGTTACAAAATTATTTAATTAGTACAAAACAACATAGTATTTTAAATATTGATATTGATATCTATTGATAGATACAAAATCAATAGGTGAATACTCCCATATTAAAGGTTTTCAAATAACTTGACATTTTTAAGGTAGAAATCTGGTAAAACTAATCCTACAAATGAAATAATTCTGTAAAAGCGCCATCTAGAAGGTTTGTCAAGTCGTCTTAGTTCTAATAGTAAAGTATAAGTAGCGGCATGAAAGTCTAGCGCTGATTGGGTTATTGCGGCATAAGTCGCGCTGATTGGCTCGTGCGTATCGTTCGCACGCGCTGATTGGCTCGCCAGTCGCATTCTTGCAATTCAATTCATGCACGTTCCCTCCACGTTTCGTTCAACGCTAGACTTACGTGCCGCGACATGTAGCTAATGGCGGAGGGTCGTCATTTGAAGTACCTAAATTCTCTAAATTATTTTTCGTACGAACTTAATTCTCGTAATTTAGTAACGAGACTAATTATAATAAAATTTTCAGAATTGTAGTTGTATAATCCTTATAAATAACATTTAAAAACAGAATTGTTCTGAGGGGTCACAAATGTGATATGTGCTAATCCGATGTGTTGGATAGACACTCCAAAAATACAGTTACCTCCCTAGATATGTTTTTCCGCTTGCAGGAAAAAGCACCTACCTATCTCGGAATTTAATGTAGATTAATATAATTTTGCTGAAGGCCGAGGATCGAGAGTGACCAGTTGTTGCAAGGAAGTTGCAGTAATTATATATAAATTATGACTTACGATTTTCGTCGTAAGGTAGGCGAGTAAATGTGTTCTTTTTTAAGTATATTTCCCTTTAAATTTATTATTAAGTACTATGATTTTAACATACTAATAACGACAAAAGTGAAATATGCTTTTTAGTTTTATAGTAATTATTATTATAAAAATTTCTAGCTCCTGCACAATTTGAGGAAGTATACGGCTTAGGGCTTTTAAGTCAAGATCAATTTATTTTCGGGAGTGTTTTATCCTTTATTCTGTTTAACCTGTTTTAATGAAATTAAACATGTGTTACTCAAAATCCTTAAGTTTTTCAATAATATATGTACGATCCATTGTTGAGAGTAACAGAGAATGCTAATTTATAAGTTCACTTTTAAAATCTAAATCGCTCGGTCGACTCGGTACTACATTATGAGGCATTAAATGAACCAAAAAGTATTGCTACAATTTTTTGTTAATCCTATGTACAATAATAATTATGTACAATGTTAATCCTACTATGTACAAACTTGAACTCATACTTGAAATATTATAGTACTAATTTTTGTATTATTATTATATTATTTTTAATGTAGGTGTGTGTGGGTTTATGTTTTCCTTTGAATTTAAGATTTTATTATGTGTGCGATAAAGAACGTTTTAAGAAAAAAATGTATGTCTAATTTAAAATTTCCGAGATATTCTCCAATTATCATAACATATTCATCCATTTCATTTCATTACAGCCTATAAAAGACCACTCACTGCTGACCAGGCCTCTCCCCATAGATTGGCTCATTTTGCCACATTTGCCACGCTTATCAGGCGGGTTAGCAACCGCAGTTGTTTATTATTTCGAGTTATTCGTATTATTAGTCAGGAAGATGGTGCTGACCATATTATGTTTCAGTTTTCTTTTGTCACGTCTTACAACACCAATGGGACAATATTATGGGGTAGTGAATATTGTTGCGCGATAGACAATGGACGTAATATTACTAAGTAATGAGGAACAGCCTTAGCAGTGTGAAACCTTCGACTGCTTGGTGGACTCCCTTTTATTTTTGGTTGTGGCATTTTCATTTCTTTGGGAGATGATTTGGTTACCTCTGGATTAAACAATTGCGGTTAATCATACCCATTACAATTCAAAATTTACATTTCATCATTCCTAAGGGGCAATCCGATACAAAGTAAAGCAAGCTTTCTACACAAGTTTATCTTAGTCCATTAAATTTCTATGGCTATCCACTTTTCAAGCCTCCTTACCTAATTCTCCGCATATAAATCTGTGTCGTTTTGTCACTTATGCTGAATGTTGATGCTATGACTTGGATTGAAATGAATCTGCTTCCACTAAAGTATTCAAATGGTCATTATTATTGATTTAAGGCTCCGTTCGTCCATGGGGATTGTTATTATATAATACCTATTAAATATTTTTTCAATTTTTTCTTCGCAATTTGTACTACGGTCTAAGTATGTTTAGACTACGGAGAAATTGAAAATATCTAGAAAAACAAATTCCCAGGCGTTTTCGTTGCTTAAAGTACTTTCTAGGTGAGCCTCTACTCTTACAAGGCTGCAATTTTAAAGAAATATTTCCCTGTATTATACTGAAAATATAGCCAGGCGGTTAATGTACTAGTTGTTAATAATACTCTTCAGGTATTTGTTATTCAAAGTATTGTTTATTAAATTACTGGGATTGCAAGTTAAACAGGCTTATGTGAATGATGATAACACCAGAAAGAGGGTGTACACGCCCTTAGCTGTCCCGACAAATGTCGACTATACAGGGGCCCATACAGCTGTACTCGACGGATAACTAAGGACGGGGCCCAAGTGCCTATGGATTTTTTTTATAGGATATTTGAGATATATAGATTAGGTACTTAATTTACGTGACTTACCTGCTTCAGAAGCGAAGAACCCCAAGGCTCGTTCCGGCGTCAGGTGTGGTGAATGTAAGTAGTGTATGAGAAGTGTATGTGTGTTTAACCAGAATTAGCCTTTGAAGTCTGACCGCAGATCCACCGGCGCTGCCACTACTCCACAGGTGAGCTCTCTCAAAGTAGGCGATCACCAATTAACAACTTCTTTCTTCAATTCACTATGTCAGTCTATTAACTTTATCGTACATTTAACTAACGTCAAGACGCAACTAAATCCCGTTAATTATAAAGCGTAACACGCGGCACGACTGGTGGGTTAAAGTTCACTTTCTTTCACTGCGCAACAATTGTTTCGAAAAACGACCGCGGCTTTTTAAGGCGCTTAACGCAACGGTACAATCAACACTAACTTCTCAATAATTAGACAACTGGGAATTTAATGTTCTAGAAAACACGACTATTCGCTGCACAAATTCGCCTAAACAGAGGGGTTGCTAAAGAAATGATAACTCATGGAACAAGAATACATCAACGATGGGATGTTCGT